AATGACTGCATTCTATTGGTCGGTTTTCTTTAGTGCTGGTTATGTTTGCGGATTTGAGATGTATCCAAATTTGCATTATAGCTGTTTGCACGAGCATATGAATCAAGGCAGCCCCAACTTTTGCTTGAAAGCAAATGTGACAATTACTCGCTGGTTTCTTGGCTTTAACTTCTTTCCGGATCCTAGCAGAGTTTTGCTTTGTTCGGTTTGATGCCTGTAGAGACCAAGCCCCTCATTGAAGCAGGCATACTAATGATACAGTCTTTGGAAATATAGGTCTGTTATGGCTTCTTTTACCATTTCTGGCTGAAGATAATCATTGTTACTCTCTTCAAGAATATCCAAATTGTATTTGTGAAACCATTGCTTTATATTGAAATTGTGAAGAGCAAGTGTTGTTTCTTGACAAACTGCTGTACTCATCATTCAAATGCAAAAATTGGGTGGATACTGCTGTATGTAGAGGTTATTGATACTAACCTACATTTAAATATCGATAGTAATAAAAATTATGATATTTGAGTATTGGATTCAATGATAAGTAGATGCATTTCTTGTTCAAGAAAAAGAAAAAATAATACCCTTGCAAGTTATGAACAGCATATGCGGGAGTAGGAGGAGCACAAGAAGTGAGACTAGCCCTTACCCTTAAAAATGGCTGATTCGAATGGGCTGATTGCTGACACCAAATGGGCTGGCTACCAAGGACTAGGATTTAACATAAGTCTTTACCGTACAAGTGTTGGGTCTTACTGACTCTTTCTGTGTCTCCGGTCCGGTCCATATTTATATTGACATAAGTTCAGGATGACAAAGATTATGTTGTAATACTGACAAACTGATGCTTAATACTAGGAAGAATAATTATTGGAGAAAGAAAGACAGGGAATCGCAGCATTTGATCCCTGGCATTGCGCCCGGAGATTGAAGCTTGTTGGTTGGGTTTGGTTTGGCATTTGGAAAGGAAATTGGGTTGACGATGATGACAGAGTCAGGGTGATAGCGTGTTGAATTCAATGTGGCGGATTGCTTTGCCTCTGCCTTCAGCGTTTCCTGCCTTGTTCTATGAACCCTAGCCACCAACCAAGGTCAGTCAGTGTCTGCGATTATTCATCTTCAACAAACATCTTTAATATATTAAGTAGTAGTAGTAGTAGTAGTATTGTTTGCTGGAATCGATTCTGTTAGAAGATTTATGGCCACAATTATGCATCCTATTCCCCCTTTTCAAGTTATAGTAACGTAGCAGCTGAACCATGTTAATATGATTGGTTGAAGAAAGATGGGTTTTTGGGAATCCTATCCATGTTCTAGAAAATCCAAACTCGATTTTACAATTTTATTCCACAACCCAAGTTTATCTGGTGTGCATTATTTTTGTTATCAAAAGGTTTCTTTCTTTTTTCCCTATTTTTTTTTTATTATCTGAAATTTTCTTGTCCGATATGTATTCTAGTAGTATTACATTACTCTAATATTTATAGGGTTTTTGGTTCAAGGGTTGCAGTTCAAGTGCAGGAATGAGGAGGAGGATTACTGCTAAAATTGACAGCCCGAATTATGATGCTGCTGAGTGGTGATATAAGAATATTAATCATTAACTATTGAATCAACAGACTTTGATTTTTTTTTTGAGTAATATAATTAATAAAAAATGTATGGAAGAGGTGGTCTTGATAGATTCAAAAAGGCTCAATCCTTGGAACCCTTCTCGGTCTCCCTAAATTCTGCCCCCAAAACCACACCCAAAGCTGTTCAAGCTCAACAACATTCACATTCTCAAAATGCAGTTGCTCAGCCTCAGCAGGAGGAGAACACTCAGCCTCAGCCAGCCACTCAGCTTGGCGGGGGTCAATCCATCTGGCAGCCTCCTGATTGGGCCATTGAGCCTCGGCCCGGGGTCTATTATCTTCAAGTTTTGAAGGAAGGACAGGTGCTTGATCACATTAATCTCGATAGACGCAGGCACATCTTTGGCAGGCAATATCATACTTGCGATTTTGTGCTTGATCATCAGTCTGTTTCACGTCAGCATGCTGCTGTCATTCCTCACAAAAATGGCAGGTCACTTCTATTTCCATTGCTTTTTTATTTTCTTTGGCCCTTTCTTTACTTCTATTCACACCTCACTATTATTTTCACTTCTCAGTACAGAATGATTTTAAAGGCTACTTCTTGATTCTACTACTTTGCTGAGTTTACTAGTTGACGATTAAAAATGACGTTGATTCTGTTTTGAAGTTCAAGTTATTCCTTTAGATTTGTAGTCATTGCTACACAACACAGTGTATTTCTATTTCTTAATAAATCATAGGTTATTCATTCTTGTGTATACAATTGATTTCTGAAGCTCCCAACTTCTTTCGAAAACCATATGTAAAGTGTAATTCACCAGCTGTTCTAACCTCAACAGCATATATGTCATCGATTTGGGATCGGCACATGGAACATTTGTTGCAAATGAGCGATTGACTAAAGATACCCCCGTTGAGCTTGAAGTAGGGCAATCTTTGCGCTTTGCTGCATCAACGAGAACTTATATATTAAGGAAGAATAATGCAGCTCTATTTCCTCGTCCTCCATCCCCAACTGAGATAAATTTACCCCCACCACCTGATCCTTCTGATGAAGAGGCCGTTGTAGCTTATAATACAATTATAAATCGTTATGGTCTGAGCAAATCGGACCTGCTGCCCAAATCCAATGTGTCTGGCAGGTCATTGTCTGGAAGAGAAGGCAGCACAGAGCCAGAGAGAGCCTCAAAGAGAATGAAGAAACTAAAAGTGACCTTCAGGGATCAAGCTGGGGGAGAGCTGGTTGAAGTCGTTGGAATTTCAGATGGTGCAGATGTAGAAACTGAACCTGGGCCTCTAGGTGTGAAAGAAGGAAGTCTTGTTGGAAAATATGAATCTCTTGTACAGACAACAGTCATTCCTAAAGGTAAGGAGGCATCATCTGTAAAGGAAGACGATGGTTTTCAGAAAGGTGTGACTGATAAACTGCAAGAAGTCTTGAATAAGGTAAAAAATGCTCCAAAAGGTGGGATTTATGATGATCTTTATGGAGAATCTTTATCTGACAAAGTTGGTTCTTCATGGGCATACTCATCTGTTAGTTGTGCTGGTAGACAAGGTTCTCCTACTCAGGATGATACTACAGGAAAGGCTATTGGTGTCTCAAGTGGAAATCCTAGAAGTAAGTCTGCCTCTTATGATGATGATAGTGAAGATGATTTATTTGGTGACTGATTGAATTAAGATGAAAGCTCTTGCAACTTGCGTCATTCTCTCAAAAAATGACAGAAAATAAGTTATCTCTGGACATAGCAGGCTATTTCCTATGAAGTTGGAGCAATTTTGTTGTAACTTATTAGCAAAATTTTCTTTGTACATTGTACTGTCAACCTGAGATTGGGGATTTGAATGCCCATGATGTTCTTGGAACATGACCGAAAGAGAATTAGCTGTAGCAAATTTTGAATCCTGGTATGTGGTTCAATCTTTCTTCTTTTTGTCCATTGTTGTTTCAGTTGCAAGTGGTGTCTGCACATGATTATGATAGGCTGTTTCCGCTTTTAATCCTAGCTAATCTTGAAGGAATGTTGTTTTGTGTATTGAGTATTGAATACTAGTAGCTGCTTTCCATTTGAGTCCTTTGTTTTTTCCAAACATTGGTGTAGAATGTGGGGGAGCAAGGCTTGTTAATTTTGTAAATATATATATGTATGTTAGGGCTATTATTTAATTTGTAACAAATGGTGTGGGTAGACTGGGCCAGATGGAAACAGCAACGAGTAGTGAATATTAGCAAACAATGCAGGGGCCAGGGGCTGGGCAGTGGGAAGCGTCAGATTGGGCCCAAAGCAGAGCCCCCTTGCAATAATTCTCATTCTCCAATCTCCACTAAAATTTGTTTCCTTGTTAAGAGCAAGGGATCCTTGAAAACAACTAGTATATATAGAAATATTAGTTTTGATTATAACTCATCACCTAAACCCTAAAACAGAGAAAGAGAAAGAGAAAGAGAAAGGGGGAATTTCATTCGGTGAGACTTAAGCAATGCGGTGGCAGCAACTAAAACAAAAGAGTGCAACTGCATGCCCAAACATGGGAGAGCCATTTGACTACTCCCATTGAAACCTATACCTGTACCCATGCCCACACCCACCTCATCATTGGGATTTAGGAACTATTTACTTTGTCATTAATTAATTTGAAATTTGATAAGAAAAGGAAGAAGAGAAACATTTCAGACTTTTTCATTACAGGAAATGAGATCGTAGGTGTCCGACACTGTCATCCAACTTGATAACAAAAAACATCTTACAGTCCCTTAACAAATATTGTCATTGTTTCCTATGCGAATCAAGTATATATCACTTATTTGCCATTTCCATTTCTATTTCCATATATATAAATAAATAAGTCGCTTTGATATTTTGTTAATTTATTGAATTACTTTGTTTCTAACATATATATATATATATATATATATATATATATGTAAACACACATGCACATTCTCCAATCATAGCACACAAGATCACTAAAAAGCAAAAGTAATTATGATGATGGATGATTAGCATGTTATTGTGATCATCATGGATCTGTATGATTGACATAAATAAAATGGCTATGCCTAGGACCACTGCTAATTTTTGCTAATTTATTAATACAAAGCTTAATTTGTCAAACCATATGAACTATTTTAATTTCTTAACACACACCTACTTGGGATTATTGAAAGGATGGGAGAGGAGTGGGAGTGGCGGACCCTCACCCTCTCCTCTCCCCATCTGTTTCACATTATACCAAGTTGGAGCACCAGCCAAGCCACACGTGGGAATCACAATGCAAACACGTCTGCATATACATACATACACCCAGACACTGCGACTGCAAATATTGACAGGACAGGGTGAAAAATTCAAATGCCTGTCTGTGTTTGGCCTCCCAAACAACCAACAAGCAGGGTCACAAAGATCCCATCAGACTGATACGGAAGCAGCGCAACCAACGGTAGAGGACAAGACACGTGGCCGACATGCAAATCAGGGAAAGGCCAACCCGAGGGCTAATGAGAAGGAGAATATACCTACATAGACATAGTGGGGGGTATCATGATGAGCCTTGCACAGGGGATCTTTCCATGGTGGTCCCACCATCCCTTCCTTTTAGTTGGGGGTGGAGTGGGGGGCAGGCACCTCTTAGCAAGTCTCTCTTTGAGTCTTAGCCCACTGCCCACTTGCGTTGCATGCTTTTTCTCGAATTCAATCATAGAGCACCAATTTCAAGCTAAGGCCTAGGCTCGGCCCCTTGGGGTTGGGGAGGCTGCACTGCCACACTCACAATTGACGTCCCCCAACAGCTGAAAATGATAAAGAGAAGAGAAGAAGAGACTGCTCCTTAATTTTACTTTTTCTTTTCGGATTCTATTCAAAGCAGCTTATGATAACATGCCTTTGATACATTACCATGTTGACTAATCCCAACCAACCACTTTTCCATCCTATTCCTCTCTCTCTCTCTCTCCGACTGTCCTGGTTAGACATTGGGACACCCATTCTTCTCTAGTTGGCGTGTCTCTTTAGTTGAGTCTAGCAGAAACCCATAAGCTAGCTCCCGTCCCGCTCCCTTTCGCTCTCCCTCTCCCTCTCCCTCTCTCCCTCCTGGATTACATGCATGAAGCAAATAAGATATCCCTTTCGTGCCTCATCTCATATATGCATTATATTGCATCGCATGTTCATATAGGTTGATGTAAATATGTTATCTTCCATTTTAGCAGCCTATACTGCTGGCCTTATATCAGAAAGTAGTGCCGCTGCTTCTGCTTCTTTCTCATCCTGGGGCAGTCACTTGGAGTCTCAAGGGTAAATATAAATAAATATATATATATATATTGCAGCTTTCGGCATCCTAAGCTCGTAACAGGTACTGCAGGCTTGGAAGCAAGTTAAAGAACTTCAACAAGCAGATCATTGGGGTATGTTTCTTGCTCTCCGTGTAGTAATTATATATACTAATAAGTAATTTCCTTTTCCTTTGGGGATTGCCCCATATATATTGGTTAAGTCCGAGCCCCAGTGCCAGCGATAATAGCTGGGCTAATTGGGATGATTTGATTGACAGAAATCTTCTTGACTTGTTGTTGTTGTTTCCCACTGAAATCCCCAACCAAAGGCTCTGCCTGCTTTTTCACTCTGTCATATGCGGATATAAGTTCTCCCATACTTTGCTCTGCTACAAGATAAAAAAAAAAAATTGGGAAAAGGAAAGAAAATTCCGAATAGAAAAAGGACAAGAAGACAATAGTAAAACCTTTTGTGAGCACTTGTTTATGATGATCAGTTATATATAAAAGAGTAGCACACTAGATCTGGATGGCATCATCTATATAGATATAGATATAGATATATATATATATATATATTATTAATCATACTTTGAAAGTCATATGAGCAAGGCTGACATAAGCATGCATCACATTTCATGGATTCTTCATGCATGCTCTCACCTTGAGAAAAGTTGTGGTCATTTTCCTATTACTATGAGGAAGAAAAACCTCAGGGCTCAAGTTGCTTTAATTTGCCCAAGTACTTGGATGCTGTGCTGCATAAGCATTAGCATGCACCGTGCAACCTTTTTTTGTTTTTTACTTTGATCTGCCACGGAAAGCACAGACCACTAGGTTGGATTTCAGCCAATCAGTGTTGATAAAAAGCACTACATTTTATCTTCCATTTTGCCCCTTAATTTTCATTCCTAGTTCTAACTAGTATTATTTTTTGTTGGCTAAATGCTCCCATGACAGCTACCCAAGCAAACCTAAGCCACTTATTTTTATCTTTTTCAGAAAGTTAGTCATCAGCCACTTTCCCCTTTATTATAATTAGTTGGTCATCCCGTAGCATGAAATGCATATCCGAAAGTTGACAACAATATATATCAACCTTGATTACGATTAATTAATTTCCATCAAGTCCGTCAGATTCTAACTGATCAAAAATTTCCTCCCTTCAACATTAGGAAAACCAGTTTTCATATATATTAATTTGGATGATCACTCGGATTATTCCAGATAGTCCATGTATATACTTATACTTGATGGAAACTCACCACCTGCCTAAAGCCGGACGAAAGTCGAGTCCATGATCCACAAAAATTGATGCCAGTGAGCTAGCTAGCTACTTCTATTCCGTCCGCAAGGCTAATTGCTATATGCCTAGCTACTTTCTTGCAGCGAGTTATATTCTTTAGATATATCTATATGTATGCTCGATACCTTTCACCCCGTCTTAATTGATTGCTGATATTAAATAGTTTGGAGAAGTATATATGTCAAGCCATCTGCATGCACAGAAGAATCATATTGTGTTGATGACGCATGATATTTTTCTTTTGATTTGAGTTTGGAACGAGTTTACTGAGATAAGATTAGGAAAGTAGCGTGCTGCAGTTCATGCCCATACCCAACTCTAAAATGCTAGTATCTCATATATGTGAACATACATATATGTTCAGAAACCTATGCATATGTAGCCTGTTTCTTATGACATAAAGTATAGTAGTATTTTAATGAACATTGGCTCAAGCATATGACTGTAATTAAGACTGCTTAACAACATATTTCCCACATTCTCAAGATCACTAATCAAGATGGATGATATGCTATATATATTTCCAGTCCATCCTTCCCTGAAAGGAAAATTCTTTTAGAAAAAGACAAGCCTAGAAATTATTTAGATAGATGTACAAATTCGTTCAAACTGTTTGGAGGAAGGAAGGAAAATAGAGAAGTGAGGAGAGAAAAAATGGAGGAGGGGAAGGAAAACTGTTTTTCCTTTTCTTGTTTTTGGTATGAAAGATAGAAAATAGAGGCAAGGAAGGAGGCTAGAGGTAAATATTATAAATAAAATGATTGACTTAGATAAAAAGACTGTTTTCCTCCCAATTTAGAGAGAAAAGAAAGAAGTAAATCCTTCCATTTTCTTATTCACTTTCTTTCTTTTCTCTCCTACCAAATATAAATATATGATTTAGATGGATTAGGCTGACTATCATCAATGAATAATTAATGCATGTATGCAAAAGAATACATAAGCTTTCACTTTCGAAAATTTTAGTACATGGGATTTAGCTTTATATGAAGATATGGGCCAAGATGGATGACGTTATTCTTTCGTTTTAGCTGCTATATATATATATATATATATATACATACATATATACTAATGAATTTGTGTGACTTAGGAATAAATTCATAGGGACCTGTACATTGCTGCTTGGGAGTAGGACCTAAGAATAAGAGGTTCCATTGTATTGAAAACAATTAAATGGGAACACAGACTAATAGGGAGAGAAATTAAATATTTAGATAGTGGATTAGAGTGCATACAGGTGTTATGTTTGATAGCAGTAGGGACACTGACGTGTTAATCAAGGTAATGGTCAATAACTGCAACTCATGTTTCTGTAAGATAAATAATTTTAGGCAAACTTCATTCATTGTTCTCGAGCCTTTCAGTTTCATGTAGTAACATGTGTCGAGGAATTGGCAGAACAAGTTAAAAAGACACTGAAGCCAGGTGAAACTTGAGCTAACAATTTAATACATAGCTGAAGAAACTAAATGAACTTCAATTAAACTGCCAAGGTATGATTAGATAAATGGCTTTCAGAAGAGGTTTAAAACTTAAAGCCGGAAAGCTTGCTAATATGTATATATATTGTTTCTTCAAGACTCTCGTGGCTTCCACGCGCGCTATCAAATCTCACTCCAGTGCATGACAGCAAAGAGGTGATTTTTATTTTTTTCTTTTTGATTTTGCAGGTGAAGACATATTATTACATGCTAAAGGGCTTTGTAGGGTTCTATACAGGAAAGGTCATGAAGATGATGGGACCCCTTGTTGAATAAAAGTTGAGGTGATTGAGCCTAGCTACTTCCCAAAGTTGTGTTAATCATACATTGCATTTATATAGGTAACACTTTTGCATACTGATTACTGACTGAAGCTCTAGTATGTAGATTGGACCTTCTCGTTGTCTACTTCTTCTTCTTCTTCTTCTTCCACTTCCCACTCCCTCGGCCTCTCCCCTTCTTTACCTCACAGCTTCTTGTCCCTGTCATTTTCTTTTCCATGTTTCTGAACTGCATAATGGATGAGTTTATTCATTCACCAATATTCATTCAACTCTAGCAGCTATATTTTGACAGCCCCATTTTGCCTTAGAGATTATTCTTTCTTTGTAAGTATGTCCTCCACACTCGGTTTATTTCGTAATTTTGGCCTGCATGCATTGATACGATGATATCCTCTTCCAAAACTATTATGTCGACTTTGGCCTGTCTTCCAGCTTCTCATTAGTTGTCTTTGCCTTTTTCCATTCTTCTTTTAACTCCATCCGTAATTGGCAAATGAACAGAAAATGGATGAGAAGAAAGAAGAGCATGGATCAGGGACAGACGAAGAGTTAAAAAACAGAACAAATAAATTTTGCACCTAACCCCACCCTTACATTAAACGTATATTCTGCAATTACCAACTTTGGTGTTGAAAGCAGTGGAAACCATTTATTTTGGCTGATCATTCGGTTTCTTTAATGGCTCTTTCAGTAATATCTGCAGTTACCAAAAACCAGTATCCTGTAAAGAAACAAAGGGGTTATGTCAACGTAACCGTAATTAATTAATGGAGGCGACTGCTCTTGTCAGAGTATGCACGTGCCTCGACACGTGCATTGTGGCTGTGGGTTTTCCTGTCTGTTTGTATGCATGTTACTACTACATGTTCTTCTTTCATGCTACCTGATAGCATTAATATGTTTTTATCTTTCGACAGAATCCATTTTGGAAATGTATTTACTAATATCACCAAGCCTTGAATCTTTCAGACACCGTCTCTTCATCAAACGTTGCAGTGTTGCAAGGGGAAAAATTAATCATTCACGACCTTTTGATTAAAGGAAGAGAAAAAAAAATGAAGTTTATGAAAATTGGGACAAAGCCAGACACCTTCTACACAGAAGAGGCTACCAGGTATAACAAGTGCGACTGTCCTTATTTTACACAACTGGCAACAATCACAAGCTTTAAATCTAATAGAGTTGGCGATTGGCAACGCAGGACTGTGATTTCAGACATACCAAGCGATCTTACAATAAGGATTAACAACATTTGTTATCTTCTTCATAAGGTATCGTTTATTGAGTTCATCATATTGGATATAAATAAATATATTGCCTCGAGTAGTGGCATAAAAGATGGTCCTGCGGATCAGCATTCTTCATCATATGTTATGCATCCTTGTCTTATTTGAATGGTTTCTAGCGTGTGTCACATTTAGACTAGAGTCAGCATTTTGGAGAAGTAGAGTCCAGCTTGTTACCTCTGTCAAGAAGACAGATGGTTTTACTTGGTACACTCAACATGACACAGCCGAGGTAGATAGTCCCTTGCTTAGAACTGAAAACATCAGCCATAGAAAGGTACCTGAAAGGCAGACATTAGGCAATTTGAATGTGAAAGACGAAAATTCCTTTTGGAAAAATCTAGAAATTTGAACAAGTGATTAAGTTACAATACATTACTAATTCATTCAGGATTGGTGAGTCAATATAACTTAGCCTCTAAATTAATCGTGCTATTTTTAGTTGCAGTTTCCACTTGTTCCAACATGTGGACTCCTACAACGACTCTGCTCTGATTCTGAGGATTCTGACATTGTAATCATAGATCTTCATGATATCCCCGGAGGTGAAGATGCTTTCGAACTCTGTGCTAAATTTTGCTATGGGATAACAATCAATCTCAGCGCCCATAACTTTGTACCTGCATTTTGTGCTGCTAAGTTCCTTAGAATGACTGAATCAATTGAGAAGGGAAATTTTGTTCTAAAACTGGAAGCTTTCTTCAATTCATGCATTCTTGAAGGTTGGAAGGACTCGATTGTCACACTACAGACTACAATAAAGTTACCTGAGTGGTCAGAGAACCTTGGAATCATTAGAAGGTGCATTGATTCTATTGTAGAGAAAATCCTCACACCCCCAGCAAAGGTTTTACATCTATTTTCCTGCTTCTATATTTTCCCCCAGAAAGAATATCCAAAACAGTATTTTTTTAAAATCGTGTGCTCTTCAAGGTATACGTTAGGTTAATCTTGATGACTTCCTGCAGGTTTCATGGTCCTACACTTATACTAGGCCAGGATACGTCAAAAAACAACACCAGACTGTCCCAAAAGATTGGTGGACAGAAGACATATCTGATCTTGACATAGACCTGTTTCGATGCATAATTACTGCTGTTAGATCAACCTATATGCTGCCACCGCAGCTCGTTGGTGAAGCTTTGCATGTTTATGCCTGTCGTTGGCTACCAGACACTACAAAGTCTAGACCCCCACAGAGTTCAGGTTCTCTGACTGAAGAATCTATGGAAAAAAGCAGGCGAATTCTTGAATTCATTGTGAGCATGATTCCTGCTGATCGAGGTTCAGTTTCAGTTGGCTTCTTGTTAAGGCTCCTTAGCATTGCAAATTATGTAGGAGCCTCCCCAGTAACGAAGACTGAACTGATAAGGAGAGCTGGTCTGCAATTTGAGGAGGCAACGGTAGGTGATATGCTACTTCCTTCCCAGTTGTCTTCTGATCAGCACTACTATGATATTGACTTGGTTTCAGCAGTATTGGAAAGTTATTTGGTGCTATGGAGAAGACAAAACCCTGCATCTGCAGAAAACAGCCACTTGCTTAGATCAATTAGAAAGATTGGAAAGCTTATAGATTCCTATCTTCAAGTTGTTGCAAGGGATGTCAACATGCCAATATCCAAACTAGTTTATGTAGCTGACGCATTGCCAGATAGTGCGAGGGGAGACCACGATGGCCTTTATAAGGCAATTAATATTTATCTCAAGGTGAGACCAATTTACTAATCAATCGCCAATTTTTCATATTTGTATTTTGGGCGGACTGGTACACTGATATGTCTGATGTGAATTCTCATTTCTTCAGTCCTTGTGCTTAAAGCATTTAGGAATGTTGATTGGATATGCATGTCTTTTGTTTTAGTTATTCATTCATTAAATGCAAGTGGAGTTTTTGGATTATTGAGTTGTTGATAGCCCGAAAAACATAGTAGTATAAGGACCAAAAAGTTCCATCTTACATCCATCTCACAGATTGTATTTCTTCCAACATGGTCCTGATTGATTTAAGCAGGAGCACCCTGATCTCAGTAAAGCAGAGAAGAAGAGCCTGTGCAGAATGCTAGACTGCCAGAAACTGTCCCCAGAGATACGTGCCCATGCTGTGAAGAACGAGAGGCTACCATTGAGAACAGTGGTGCAAGTCCTCTTTTTCGAACAAGAGAGTGGTTCCAGGGCAACAGGTCATAAACCAGAGCTGATCTCCAAAGCAAGACAGACACAAGCTACGGAAGAAGAGGGTGATAAGCCGCAACAAGAGGCAAGGAGAAAGAACACGGTTACTGAAAGCAGCGAAAGTGAGCATCACGAAAAGATGAAAAGCTTGGAGGGAAAGGGGGTGAGAGGGGACATTGGGGAAGCAGAATCCGAGAAGGGCAAAGAAAGGAGAGGTGAAGCGAATTCTGCAAGCAAAGTGGATCCCAAGAAGATAGTACAAAGGAGAAGTAGATCAGACCAAGGGCATGATAAAGGTCGAGAGAGATAGTCGAATTACTGCAATCAAATTCTGAACTTGAAGACTCCCTCTTCCCTAATTCTCTGTGCTATTGTGTTTCGTGTACCCTTTTGCATATATAATTGCATTGCAGTAAGTAATGCACCATTTGTGGTAGCTAGGCAAAAAGAGTTCCTATCAGACCAGAAAAAACAAAAGGAAAAAAGCGACTTCTTTTCAGCTGTAAAGACCAATAAATAACTTAGTTACAGTACTGTCCTATTGAATAGAAGAAAAGAGTTGGTTCGTGAACCGAAATCCTACCATAAGTACGCATTAGTTTTGCAGATGAATAGAACAGGAGAAGTATAAGCCATCGCTTCCAGCTTCTTTAACTGTTGTCATTGAAACAGAATAAGTGCATCATCAACAACGCCCGGCTCAAGTGAAGGCAGAGGATTTCTAATCCCCTCAAAATCTTGAATTCTGTTTTATGTACTACAAGAATGCGGTTAACATCAAACTCGTTCCCAACATGATACCATAACATAAATAAACAGTTGGCTAGCCTTGTAGACTTCTAGGCTCTGGCTAAACAGAATCAAGCAACCAAAACACAAGTGATGCAGAGCCAGATGTGCCATTGGGTTTCTAAGAAGTTACCAAAAATGATATATTCAAAACATTGGCAGTTCATTGGTTGAACATAGAGATTACTTGTAAGGGGTGTGCCATTACATTTACATGGATCCGTGATAAAGAGGGTTCATCTAATTTGTAACTTGTCAAGGCTTTGGTTGGGTTGTAAAACAAGAGCCGGAACGCTTAATGGTGTTCCCTTTAATGTGGGTTCTGTTGTTTCCCCGAATGTCGGAGTATGGAAGGTTTTTATTTGTGTGTGTGTATCTGTATAATCAATAATCAAATCCGAAATCATAAATCAGAATCATTGTGTGTAGTAAAGCAGTAATTGCACTAGCACTATAGTATATTATATTATAACCCACCTTGGGCCTTTGGCGTTAGCAGTGGGCACCTCGTTTCCGTAATCCAGAGACTAACAAAACAGAGAAAAACAATTAGTCAGTCGGACATGCCTCACCATCAGAATCTTGACTGCTCTTCTTCACCTTCCTTTCTCTTCCTCATTTCTCCTCTCTGCTTCTTCTGAAAGGTAATATATACTAGTATATTATTTGTTAAAATGAAAATTCTGTCTCCATGACTCTGTTTTCTTTGTTTTATTAAAAGCCCTAATCTTTGCTTGTTTGGTTTGATCTGTTTCTGTTTGTAATTGCGTGAACCATGTCTGGATTTTTGGTTGCCATTGGAGTTCTCGAATCGGATTTTGGGCTTGTTGGATCCTCAATGTGCAATGCTTTGATTAACTGCTGTAACGTCGGTTTTTATTTCATTCTTCCCCGTTTGAATTGCTATGGCCAAAGAGCCAGATTTCGTTGCATACTCGTACAATCACTTTTCAATATAAACGATATAAGCATCTCCTTGGAATTTTACTTGTCTTTCTTTTTATATCTGATATCGAATGCAGTGATGGTTTTCTCTCATCGCTTTAGTCTCTCCTACACCATTTTGTATCCGGCCTCGAAATTCTTGCCATATGCAGTTCTACCTCTGGGGCTTTTATTCACTGTCTAATTCTTAGAATTTCAAGCATGCCACTTAATGTTAAACTTGCTCTTGCTATGAATCAATTATACTAGAAAGGAAGAATCTTTGAACCTCTTATTTGAGGCACCCAGCTTTTACTTCTTCTGCTTGCTTCCCAGTGGCCTCAATGGATATTTCTGTTAGACCGGTGTAAGTGGAATGGAGATGCAAGGATGCTCTTTAGATATTTTTAACTGAGTTAGTCTCTGACGGTGCTTTTGAAAACATAACATAAGGAAGACAACATGGTGCATATATCAGCCCTCTGTGCAAAATTACAGAATTATCGCTGCATTTTGCCTTTGTAGTTTACATAGCCTATTAGAATAGCATGCATGCATGCAAGCATTTATTCACATTTCCAATTTCGCCAATATTTTTCGTCTTGTATTTCTGCTTTGTCTGTCACCCAGAAGACTGGAAACGGAAAAATCTATTCGATTCTGACTGCTGCTCAACATTCAATTGGTTGTAATGTTCCAATGATTCTTTTTGTTTAATTTCAAATAGCTACGGAATTGGATTGAATTTTATCTTTGCTTCTTGGAAATTCAAAATCGATTGCAAAATGGTTTAGGCTTGTGTTCCCTGCATATTTTGTGGCTTTCTAAGACGACAAAGGAGATGGGAAGGAATCATCAGATTAATAACTGAGTTTAGTTGGTGACATGTGGAACATTTTCTCTTCTTGTTGCATGTTCACATCAAATCAAACAAAATTTGTTATCAACTTACAATTATCTTATAGTTGCCCTATATTAGCTTCTACCTTTGATTATGTTCAGTTATTGTTTTATACTTTTCTCATGCATTTTCTAGTTGAAATTAAAAAAACACGTGCTACATTTAGGTGCATTTTTTTTTCAGAAACATGTCCTCTTGGAATTTAATTTATTTTCAAGTATGTGTCAAATTATTCTGATGTGCTGTGTTTACTTTTGGTTTAGAACTTGTTATCTATGTGCACACATAGAGTTTCTAAATTCAATCTTTGGTATGTTGGGGAAATTATATTATGGGTTTTAACGTCAACAACTTGCCAGTTTCTTGGGTATTCTTCAAGATAAAGCTCTCAACGTTTAAGAGTTGGGTTCCTCTTGTGTGCAGTTATGGAGCATTTTGATATCTGGAAAAGATCATGGTGCAGTGCCTAGAAGGATTAAAGCATTTATGTGCTGCAGTCATTAATTGTTGTGATGCTGATTTATATAAGCAACCTAAGGGTCTGGAAGATCCGGAAGCTCTGGCAAGGGAGACTGTGTGTATGTTTACATTTTTAGTGATATTTTCGGTCAAAATTGAAGAATGATTTTTTTGTTTTATTTACAGTTCTAGGTGAAGAATGATCATGTAAAGTGATGAAATGCACCAGCATGGTGATCTTTTTCCTTTCTCCTAAATTTTAAGGGAAACTTGATCATTTTTAATTAATTTTATTCTGTGACTACCAGTTGCACTTTTTCAATTTTCATTGGAAAAGGAGATATGGACAGTGCCTAGATATTTACTCTTCTTCCCCCTTCAAATGCAGTTAGTGTAAGTGAAATTGAAGCCCTGTATGAGCTATTTAAAAAAATCAGCAGTGCTGTGATTGATGATGGGCTGATCAACAAGGTAATTTATCATTAATTTTTAGATATGCTTGTGCTGTTACATTCTTTGCAGCTTCTGCACAAAAATAGACTTTCTTTCATATCAATATAATCTGAAGCCTGCCCTTTTAAGCAGAAATATTTTCTGAATGCTTGATACATTTCTAATTTTAGTTTTCTTGCTCTTTACTTATTTTATGTTACAGGAAGAATTTCAATTGGCATTGTTTAAGACAAACAAAAAGGAGAGCTTATTTGCAGATCGGGTATCTTTTTACTGTGAAAAATTTAGCATCGTCAAATGAGTGTTAATTTGCTTTCTTGCTTTTCACCCCCTGGATTTTTCCCCCTTTGGTGGTTCTCGCTCAACAGACTTTATATAACTTACCACATACTCATGGTGCTTGAGATTGCTGTTCAAACTATGTAGGTATTTGACTTGTTTGACACCAAGCACAATGGAATACTTGATTTTGAAGAGTTTGCACGTGCTTTGTCTGTATTTCACCCCAATGCACCAATTGATGATAAAATTGAGTGTAAGTTCACTTAACATTTCAAGGACTTATTGCATTTGTAGCTAATATTAAGAAAATGTACAATGTCTCCATCAAGAGCAGAGAAAAGGGGCTATAGCTCATTATAAGCACTTGCAGCATGTCTCCCTTCTTGGGTTTTTGAGGGAGGGCTGGCATATGAACCTCATTGATAGAGTGCCTAAATTATGATACATCATTAAGTTTTATAGAATTAGTCATCTCCAGCACTTTCAACATTAGCTTTCCTCATGATTACATGGTGAAGTGCATTTATGAATGTTATTGGAATTGCAGTTTCATTCCAGCTGTACGATCTCAAACAGCAAGGGTTCATAGAGAGACAAGAGGTATCTTATTATTTTTGTGCTAAATGAATAAATGAAGACTTGTCAACATTACACTTACTAATCTTTACTCTAAAAAATCATTTTGAAATTATTACAAGCGTCAAATATTGCTATGATGTTTACTTTGTAGTTTTCTAACTAGGTTTCTGCACTGTAATTCATTTGTCGAAGGTTATATGTAGGCACCAGAAATCTGAATTTACAGCATATTTCTGCTGTTTTGTTCTTTTGGTGATAATATTACTGGTACTTTCAGTTCTATTATGTTCACTAGGTACAGCAGTGTCTGGAACAAAGTAACATTTTCTGTTCTCTAGTATTATTCTTTTTCAAGGCAAATATATTACCAGCATGGTTGTTTCCTGCAACATAGTATGTTCTATGTTTTTTGAGACATCTCTGAAGTACTGTGACCATAAATCTTTAACGTATAGGTAAAGCAAATGGTAGTAGCCACGCTTGCTGAATCTGGTATGAATCTGTCAGATGATGTTATCGAGAGTATCATTGACAAGGTGCTTCCTTAATTGATTGTAGTGATTTGTTGTTTGAGGCGGCATGTTGTTATTTACTTGTTCCTCTACTATAGCTAATTAAGGCTGCCCTTTCTGTATTTGTCTTCTCTGATTTATATTATTATGTTAGTGGACTTGTTCCTTGATGCACTCATAGACATGTTGTTCCTAGTTTTCATTTGTTTTAACGCTGTGCTTCTCACGATCTTCATGGATGTGTCTAAACTAGTAGTTTGAAAATTTAATTTCCATCCATATATTGGTAAGTTGAAAAGCTTTTCCATGTGTTGAAGGAAGCAATTATTAGAACAATGAAGTATGAAGGACAGAGCAACTCCTGAGTTGTACAAACATTGAAATATGAAGAATTTTACTAAATTACAATTAGATACATAGAGTTGCGGTGTTTAAACTGAGACATCAATGGAGATGCTATGTCTGTGCTGTTAAGTTACATCTTAGGAAGCAGCAGTTAGGTTTGAAATTTATGCTGGTTTTGTTTTCAATAGATAATCAATTTACATGATGCTGCAGGTCTGAGAGATGTTTAGAAGTAGTGTAAGCACAGCGTCAGTGCTGTTTTTAGTGTTAGTGTCATGAACTAATTGATTCACACATATGGTGGTGTAACTATATTTCGCCTAAATTTGTTTATTGGATAGACCTTTGAGGAAGCTGATACTAAACATGATGGAAAGATTGACAAGGAAGAGTGGAGAAGCCTTGTTTTGCGGCATCCTTCGCTTTTGAAGAATATGACTCTTCAGTATCTCAAGTATGTTGGTTATTAACACTTGAAAACTAGTGATATAAGTGTCTCTCCATGTTGGAGGGAAGGGAAGATGATATAGATTATAAAGTTTTTGGAAGCAAAATTATGCATAGAAGGGAGCCTTGTTATTAACTTTGTGTCTCTTGGTGAACAGAGACATCACCACTACATTCCCAAGTTTTGTTTTTCACTCACAAGTTGATGATACCTGAGGATGAGACCCAGTTGAAGACGCAGATGAAGATGGTTGCATGTGCAACGGCGAAATTCTGTGTTTCGAAGTAGAGCCGTCTATGTTCCTTTTGTTTTTGCAGCTTGAAACACTGGCTTCTTTCTTCCGAGTATTTATTTGTTGTTTTTGTGGTTTAGGGGGAAATCATGTGTAAACAATTAAGAGTGGAATCATCATTTGTTATGTTAAATTAATTACTGAATCAAAGACTACAAACTGGTATTGCCATCGCCCATCGATGCCAAATTGGACTCTTTAGATTATAAATAAATAAAAACTATATATATATATATATAATTAAATTATAAAATTTAAGAAAACATTGGCCTTTTTGGTTGGCAAATTAAATAATAAAAAATTTAACATAATATAATTTATAAACCGAAAAAGTTATTTAACATCTGTAATTTTATATAAGGAGGCAACAACGAAAACAGCCGCATATACATACATGCATACATACAATCATAAGTACATACAAAAAAAGGGCAAAGCAACCACAACGGCAAAGAAAACACGCCAAACAGGTTCTAGGCCTGATGCCGTGTCTAAAGTCGGAGAAGCACTCCACCTCTGTCTCTCTCTCTGTTTCTGTCTGTCCTGCCTCCATCCTCTCCTCTTCTCTCCTCTCTGCCTCGCTGCGCGGGTAAACCTTTGATTGATCTTTCGACTGCATGTTATTCTTGATGTGTGACAAGTGAAAAGCCTTAAAAAGGTTGGGTTTTGTGTTTTTTGATTAATTGTTAACTGGTGGTTGAAATGTCGGAGAAGGGAGGCAAAGGGTTTTCATTGCCCACCAAAACAACACCTAAATCTGCTCTCAAATCTACCCCGGCTTCTGCCACTGCGAGACATGGTTTGCTTTTCTTCTCTCTATCTTCTTTATCTTTGATTCGTGCATTACTGTTGATGCTCTTCACACTATTCTATGTTCAACCCCCTTTTCCTTTGCTCCTCGTCTCTAATTGTTCTGTTCATTGCAAAAACCTCAACTTTGAAGGATTTATTTCTTGCCCAATACAGGACCAAATCGCAAAAACCTCCTTACTAGCTCCCTTGTTACCTCATCGTCATTCCTTCAACGTCTCAGGAGATGCTATCTGCCTGCCGGCTCTTGTTACTTAATAGTTATCAGGCTGCTTCCCTCCATTTTTTAGTTTCCAACTACCACTTATGCCTCTTGCTCGCTAATGCCATTTCCTTAATTTTGGCTTCACTCAAATTTTTCTACCGCATGCATGCATTCTTACTCTTTCTTCCGTAAATGTTCTGTTATCCTTTACCAATCTTCGTGGCTCATCGTTCTTCCGTGGCTTCATTGAAAGGAAAAGACGATAATTCTGCAAGATCAAAGAGGGGAAGGAAAGTTCAGTTTGGAACGGAAGGTCTAAAGTTTTTCCTTTTTCTCTTTGCCTTTTGAGCTTATCCTTCTCTTCGAGATTTATTCTGCTTATAAATCCTGCTCTATCTTTTTTTACAGGTTTAACTGATCTTGGATTTAATTTCTCATCGCTAAAATCTGATGGCAAGTTTGCAATCCCTGTTGGAAAAGGTACTGCCCCATCTTTCAAGCTCTCGGGTTTAGGGCTAAAGGGATCAACTTTATTATTTTTTCAAGAATTCTATTTTCTATGTCTATTAACTGTTTTTACTGATACTGCATAAAATTCAATGCACAAGGTGACTGGGCCAAGGGAGGAAAGGGAGAAAAGGTAGTCAATGGTGGAAAGGCCCCTGTGGCAAAAGAAGCAAAGTCATTGGAGCTCAGAGTTGAACAGGGTTTTTACTCGCCTGAACTGCCCATACATGATTCTTTTGAATGTTTATTACCCTGTTTACTAAGTGAATCGTTTGTCACAGTCAGCATTTAGATTGTATTTATTGTCTGTTTAAATGATTAACAGTAATTTCAGTTGCAGGACTTGAAAAAAAAAATTTGCTTCTTCCTGTAAGAATTTTCATTAGATTGCTTACTTCTTGTAGTAAGTGTGCATACCATCATGCTCAATGTATAAATATGTAGTACTTTTCATTTTAAGAAGTAGAAATACATCTATTTTCTACGGAGTAAATCCTTTTTCATTTTGCACCTTTATCATAAGTATGTATGCCACACTACTTATAATCTTCTTTTCTATAAGTGTGAAAAATATCTTGTGATGGAGAAGTGAAAAATCAGAAATTATGCTGTTATATTGCCAAAGGAACATACTTTCTTTCAAGGTGTCTTATTGTGTTCTCTTTTACCCCTATTTGTTATGTTCTTCTAATGCAATTTGCTGGCCATTACTTTTCCTTGTGCTGTTAAGGGTAATTACAGCTTTCTTCATGTGTGCATACTGCTTTTCATTTGGCACTTGGATTTTTTGTTTGAATTGGCCCTTGAACTTTGCTGTAGACGCTCTTCTATTGGCCTTGTTGTCTCTCTCATCGTCTCTGAACTATTTATCATGTAACTTGATGAAAATATTCTCTTGGTTTTAAGATTTTTCTTTTTTTTAATTAGCCTCACTCTTGAGATTTATATCTGAAGCTTTTGTAAAGGTCCTTGCTATTATTTGCAGAACTTCCAGAAAATGTTAAATGCCTCATGGATTGTGAGGCTGCAAATATTTTAGAAGGCATCCAGGAACAAATGGTTATGCTCTCTCAAGATTCAACTATTAAGCTCCCCGAGTAAGAACGTGTTTAGAACTGTTGTTTGTTTGTGGAAGGATTCATCAAATTACTCTTAACACTCTTTTCAGATCATTCCATTTAGGACTGCAGTATGCCAAGACTCATAGCTATTATACTAATCCCCAGTCTGTCAGACGAGTTCTTGAGTATCCTTGACTTTTTTTTCTATTGCACTTGTATATAGACAATTTCTTTTTAACTGGTTGCTTTATATTGCATTTGTCTGCTCCATCTCTTGTTGAACCATTAACTCAATCAGGGCTCTTTCAAAATATGGTGTCTCTTACAGTGAGGTATTAGGTCTCCTCCCTAGTGATTAATTTTAAACAATCATTCTGCTGTCTTAGTTCCAAATTGTTGTTGCAGATTTGTGTGATTGCAAATACTTGTCCAGAAACTGTTGATGAAGTTTTTGCTCTTGTTCGATCCTTGGAGGTATGACTAGTAGGAATTTCTCAAATCTGATATATGAAATTGTTTATTGTGTCCCAAGGGGGGAGAATGAGAGTTGTTGTAAAAAAAGGCAAAGATGCTAGTTTGAAATTTTTATTGCTTGATCTAGGCTAAGAAAAGCAGGCTCAGTGAACCACTTAAAGATGTATTGGATGAGCTAGCTAAACTTAAAAAATCCACCTGATGGCATGTGCAGATGCTCGGGTAAGATGGCTTTTGCTGGGATTTTACTGCAGTTGGTTCTAGGTTGTAATTATTGTTTTGTGTTTGATAAACTGAGTGCATGCAGGTTGCTAGACTGTTAGTGGCTGTGAGGTATGCATATTTTTGAGAGGAACCCGTATCGGACTTGGCTTGAAAAGGAGTACCCTCTTCTTATTATTATCGATGGTTGGACCCTCACCATTTTCATGAGCAAGAGACTAGAGGACCTTGTGCAGGGTTTTGTAACTATCGGATTTCCTTATGATAAGAATTTGTGGTTGAATAGAGATATTGTATCTCTGGCAGCATTCGTTTGACGGTGATTGTTGTTTCATGATCGGTATGTTAATATGTGAGAAATGAACCTCTCTGCAATCTCCTTTGATAATGGTTTGCTTGCTGCTCTTACACTTCTTCTTGAAAAGATAAAACAACATATCTACCCAAACCAATGGAAGTTCACTTTTTGCTATTTGTTTCTTATCTTTCCAAAAAATTGTTGTAAAGAAATAATGAAAGCATTTGTCTCGTGTTGCAACAGCTTTTACAGATTGTAAGTAATTGATATGCTTGAAAGCAAAATACTAATAATAATAAACATTAGCGATACATTTCTTAACATGAACACGGTGAAGTGCAGTGGCAATAGTCTGCCAGACGAATCCAAACGATCGGGACAGAAATATCTTATTGAATTTCATCCGGGCTTCACGAAATCAGGCTGATTGGTGACAGATCTGACCCATGCCCATTTATGGTCCTTCGTGTTTACTTCATTCTTAGCTTGTGCCACGCCTGTCAACGGAATATATGCATAGTTGCCGTTAATAGGGCCAGAGACAAAACCAGTGTACCCTGCCATTACCCCATGAATTGCTGAATGAGCCAGAAGTGTACAGTACAAGTTATCTGTAGCATTTGCTGGAACTGCACGTATCATGTAAGTAGGATCTATATACTTCACTGTAAACAACTCATCTGGGTGGTCTCTGGCCCACCATTTCTTGAGCTCTGAGTTCAGCCACGCCCCAACATCTAGGAAAACCAGGTTGCCAGACTCATCCCTTTCTTCTTTCTGGGCATCGCTTCTCGGTATCAAATCCTGACCTGCCCCTTCAGCAACCACCAGCACTGCATGCCCCCTCTCTTTCAGCCTTTGTTCAAGAAATTCAAATAGGCCCCCTTTGGCTTCCAAATAAAATTCGGTTTCAGGAATTAAGCAGCAGTCCACATCACGGCTGCTCAATGTTGCGTGAAGGGCTATATGCCCTGTGCTCCGACCCATTAGCTTCACTAAACCAATTCCATTGACTGCACTTTCCGCCTCTACATGGGCCGCATTGATTGCTTGCTGAGCCATTTCTACAGCCGTCTGGAATCCAAATGATCTATCAATTATGCCCACATCATTGTCCACAGTTTTTGGAATTCCAGCGACTCCTACTCTCAATTTCCGCCGGCGGATCTCCTCAAATATCTTTACAGCACCGCGCATTGTGCCATCCCCGCCTATAATGTAAACCTACTCGAACATATATATTGAGCAAGCAAATATTGGTGAAACCTAGCAAGCAACATTTATTTATATTTTTGAAATAAACTCCAGGATGCAAGCACTAGGTAAATTTATTATCAAGAACTAGGTAAGGTTACTAGAAGAAATTACCAGTTGTTATAAACTGGGACTAGTTAATACATGTAGCAGTAAATACATACAGATATCAAGCAAGATAAAATTGACCAAATGAAAATGATAAATTCTTTAAATGGTAATCCTATTCCTATGGTTAAGATGCTTGCTCTTTTGGTAATTTCTTTGTATTGTTCTGCCTAATAGATACTGGGGATCCGAATTTGGATGCAATTAAAAGGTTGATGATGGCCAACGTTGAGGGTTTTGGAGAAATACTGATCAGTTGATCAAGCGCAACACAGTAATCTAATGAAACTAAAATATCAAACACCGGAACAAAAGATATAATTGATTTTTCTGAGGTGAAGAGGCTACTAAATTCTTATCAAAAAGCTGATTCACAAAACTAGAGAGGGCTGGCACATCTACTCTATTCTTTTAGAAGAAAATTTTAAGTATAAATTTTACAATGCCCAGACTCCATAGGGTTGTGAACAGTCTTGGTTTCCTCAGCCCTGGTCCCCGAGCCAAAAACAAATCCAAATTTACTTTACTGATCTGGAGATGAAGTGTATATAAAAGCTTTTGCAGAAAGAGACTGGGCGGGATGCCTATCTCAAGCTAATGGCGACCCAGACCCTCTACTCTAATTTCAACATGGAAATACAAAGTTTTTAATTAAGCTAACACAAACTGATGAAGCGGGAAACAAAAAACTTTGCCTACTACACTAATTGGCAGACAGCAATTAACCTGATTAAAGCCGCGGTGCTCAATGGCATCAACAATCCTTGTGAGATCAAAGCCACCCCTCGATGTTTCAAGCACAGTCCCGCCCCTCTTGTGCCAGTTATGCACCAGCTTAGGATTGAGCTCAATGGGGTGAGTGGAGTAGAAACCTCGGTAGCCCGCTTTAATACCATAAATTTGGCGCACCCCATACAGGTCCCAAAGGCCAACAACCAGCTCCCGTATAACAGTATTCATCCCAGGACAGAGTCCTCCACATGTAACGATAGCAGCCCTGGTGGTACAAGGGTCAAAGAAAATTTGGTTGCGAGGACCCGCCCTGTGATATGCCAAGTACTGGCCGTGAGAGGGAGAAGGGAGTGTTCTGGAGAGAGAAAGATCGCAGCGACTTGGGGGAGAATGACGTCGGATGGGGTTATGTAGAAGCCGTCAGTGGGATGGAAGAAAGGGTTTCGGTAGAGTGGATTGGGGCCGACCGGTTGGAGGTGGTTCATGTACTCAGTGAGATGGGGTAGCTTTTGAAGGGTTATAATAGGAGAGAATGAAAAGGCATCATCAGAGGCAGAGCCATAAACTTGTTCTAGTTGTTGCGGTAGAAGACGGTGTGAGATTGCTGGCTTCTGGCTGTGATACAGCCATGGCTGGGTTGGGGTTGGGACCATTGATTCAGATTGCGGAGAATACCGATTCCAATATGATATCTTCTAGAATAGTAACTGAATACTTGAGTAGTGTGTGAATGTGACATGCAAAACCAGACAAATGGTTTTGAGAGGCAACCATTAGATTGGGCGCATGTGTGGCGTTGTCTTAAGTAGCTAGTGCCACACGTGGAGATTCGGCGGTGGCATTTGGAGTTACGTGGAACAATTTGTGGACAGAAAGGCTAGGGCTTTTGATGGTTTTGTAGACGGGGCCCAAGCTGCACGGTCGTATGGGCTGCTTCCTTCTTTAGCCCAAGCTAAATCATCCTCTGTGATTGGGGGCCAAATTATTAGTATGATAATATGGAATAACCACAATTAGGTAAAAGATATATCCAATCAGAATCAGAGGGATAATAAATTGCAATGCTTTATCAGCTTAACTCTCTAGATAATGAAGTTAACTCCCTGATAAAGATTGTTGAGGTAATCATTCAGAATTAGATGAATCTGATTCAAATCTTGCTTCTTTTATTGAAGCAAAATGGCCAGACGAGTAAGTGCCCTGAGCAATGGAGTGTTGCAGCAAAATAATGGCACCAGCTCTGCACCATCCACTGAATCCAAACTTGAAAACTTTTACAATAAAAAGAGCAAAACACTTGGATTAAGAAATTAAGCAATTATATGTAGCTCCCCAAGTTGATTTAAACTATATTAGAATTTCAAAAAACAAAAAAGCTCATCTCATCAATTTGAGATTGTCAAAGAAGGAGTGTGAGGAAATTAAGCGTGCATATCGTATAGTATAGTTGACAGCATGAAACTCTTAAGGACAATGCCATGCAAGTTATTCGATTAGGAAACCTGGAGTCTTGCCTCAGACATCTCACATCCTGATTAGCAATCATGTGCAATAGAATTCCTAGAAACGTCCTTTGTTAAACTCTTTAATTTACACGTAATGCCGCAATGCTAAGTCCAAGTTTCATGCTCCTTAATCAATGTTCCCAGTCCCCTGGACCAATCAAGTGCTCTTTCATGAATCAAATCACCTTTATTTTTGTTTTTGTTTTGTAGTAGAATTATATATATATATATATATATATATATATAGAGAGAGAGAGAGAGAGAGAGAGAGTAGCTTTCCTGCTGTTTATTAATAGTGCAAACAACATACATACATATATCCGACTTGTCAGTTGTTATATTGCTTCATGAGATAGAAGGAAATGATGTCTCTTCTAATCCTATGATAAGTAATATCACAAACATAATCGGTTGGGAAAATATAACCGCTTCTGGTATAGGATTCTTATCTTTTCTACCGCACACTACGTCTGCCACTATCTAATTAATAATTATCTGATTTTGAGTAAGCTTGTATACGTAATCCCAAAAAAGTGTTTCTCTTTAGGTGCAGCTGACTACCATATAAATTACATGAACCGTGAAAGGGGAGTTAAACCCTCATCTTCACGGCATAACAATGTGGTTTCCCAAGCTTTCACTGTTCCTTCTATCAATTGGTATTTGCTGTTCGCTATTCCAAGCACCCGCTTTTGCGACAAAAAGGTAAAAAAATAAATGAAATACTGTCTCTACTCGAATCTGTCATTCGTTACGAAAAACTTCTGAATGAATCTGGTTAATACGTGCATAACTATTGGTTCCATAAGTTTAAGTTTTAACCGAGCTCTTTTTGTTTTGTTTTGTTTTTTTTTTTGTATATTTTCTCTTCTGTCCATTTGATATAAGTCTTACATAGTCTACTTGGGGTCGCATGCACACGGCCCAGAAGTTACGGATGCTGATCTTAATCGAGTGACTGATTCTCATTATAATCTCCTCGGTTATTCTTGGAAGGTATGGTATTTTTCCTTCTGGTATTTTGCTATACTGAATGGTCGATATAATACATATATATATATATATATTGCATTCTTGGCTTTGTTTTTCTATATATATATAGATGTATGCATATCATGACTCAATTTGTTGTTTTCACGTAGTAAGGAGAAGGCCAGAGAAGCCATCTTTGACTCGTACCAAAGACATATCAACGGTTTTGCTGCCACCTTGAAGAGGAAGAGGCTGCTGAGATTGCAAGTAATAACATAGTAGATTGACATTCACCTTGGCTCCCTCCCCGTGTATTTTAGACACTAATAAGTGGTAGCTAGGTGGCCGTAACTAGTCTAAAGAAACTGATGCTTTCGAGATACCGTTCATTTTGAATGCAGTGCATCCTGAAGTTGTATCAGTTTTCCCAAACAGACTAAGTAAATTGCAAACGACTCATTCATGGGAACTCATGTCCCTGGAATGGAATGGTGAGGTGGTTCCTGGTTCCTTGTGGACGGAGGTAGATTGGTGAAGACACCATCATTGCAAACATAGACACCGGTAATTAATTAACCATTCTTTTCTTTCATGCGCTGCCATCACGAATTCAAATTCCTTTTGCTTTCTAATTTATTCGTGTTTCAAAAACCAAATATATACTAATATGCAACATGAAAAGGAACAAGGTTCCAGCCCATAAAAAGACAACTTGCTTCAAAGATGCTTTGGTATATTTTTTCTCTAATTAAATGGGATTGTTCTAGGCGTTTGGCCAGATCAAAAAGCTTTTGCGACGAAGGGATTGGACCTGTTCCGTCCAGGTGGAAAGGTGAATGTCAGCTTGACTCTGAGGCTGGGGTTGGTTGTAACAGGTAAGCGACTGTTGTCTGTTGCTTATTATTAAATCCATAATTGATATACTGAGTTTTTGTCTTGATTTCAATTGATATATGTTTAAATTTAACTTCAGTTTGAGCCTTCCTTCCCACCCATCCATAATCCAGGCTATGATTAAATAGGACCAGAAAATCTCTAAACACTAGTAGTATATAGGTTGTGGAGTTGTATGTATGTGTGCGACGTCTAGTTTACTATTGGTGACCCATGCAGAAAGCTCATTGGAGCAAGGTACTTCAACAAAGGTTTTATTTCAAATGGTGGAGGGGTGAACTCTTCTCAATTAAATGCCCTTGACGAGGATGGCCATGGCACTCACACACTTTCAACAGCGGGTGGGAGCTTTGTTCCAGGAGCCACCGTCTTAGGTGTGGATTACGGACTGCCAAAGGTGGCTCGCCTAAAGCGCGGGTAGCTGCTTATAAGGTGTGCTGGGGACCAAAAAATAAATGCTTTGACTCTGATGTCCTGGCTGCATTTGACATGGCCATACATGACGGGTTGATGTGATTTCAGTGTCACTCTCTTCTAAAGATGTAGGTTGTGGGTACTTCGATGAGTCAGAGCCATCGGAGCATTCCATGCCGTTAAACATGGTATTACAGTTGTATCGCCGCTGGAAATACAGCAAGGCATGGAGCTGGATCGGTTAGGAATTTCGCACCTTGGATGATAACCGTTGCAGCCAGCACCTTGGACCGAAAATTTAAAGATTATGTTGAACTAGAAAACGGTCTTCACCTTGAGGTTCGTTTAGCCTATCTATGCATTTCTTCCCAGTCCTTCCCTAAACATAATCGATTTATGTTCATTTCGTTTCTGTTGAATATCAGGGCATAAGCCTTTCGAAGCCTCTCCCTGAACATAGATTCTATCCACTTATTACTGGTGCAGAGGGCATGGTTGCCAACGGAAGTTCTGACTTAGGGTAAGAACAATCTTGTTTTAATCTCTTCGCCTCAGATGTGACACTATAATTCAAATTAAAGTATTAAGTGCGTGCATATTATGATTTTGGAAATGCAGTTTGCTATGCCTTGAAGATCTTGATCCTAATAAGGTGAAGGGTAAAATTGTAGCCTGCCTCGAGGGTGGGTATGTCTTTCCGGTAATGAAAGGATTGCTAGTAGCAGAGGCTGGGCTGCTGGGATGATTATGTGCAATCATGAGCGTTCTCCAAATGAAACTTCATTTGAAGAACTTCATTTCCTTCCGGTATCGCATCTCAACTACGAGGAGGGTCGTTCACTCTATGCCTACATCAATTCTTCGAGTATCACTCTCGCTTGCTCTTACTGGCACAAACACCAACAAGCACATGCTTTTGCATCTGCTCTGTCTCTGTCCATCTTCTTTTTATTAGTATTTTTGTGCAGAAATCCAATGGCATATTTTACACCCCCAACGACACAAACTGTATACAAAGCCTGCTCCATTAATGGCAGTTACCTCCGCTCGAGGACCAAACCCTTTTACACCAGAGATCCTTAAGGTTTTAACTGCAAGTTTTATTTTTTGAGAAACTTAATATTCCAAGAACAACATTTTCTATACTGCAACTAGCAATTGAAACCCACATGTCTATGTTTGACAATGCTCAGCCTGATATCACAGCACCTGGAGTTGATATCATAGCTGCCAACACCGAAGCAGTGTCCCCCACAGGTATTCCCGAGGATACCCGCAGGTCTGCTTTCCTTTTTAAAAGTGGTACTTCAATGTCTTGTCCTCACGTTGCTGGAGTTGCTGGTCTTCTGAAGACACTTAAGCCCGACTGGAGTCCAGCTGCAATAAGATCTGCAATCATGACTACTGGTAAAGCTTTTTCAATTTTCTCCCCACGTTCTCGAGAACCACATAACATATTGTACAGTAGTAAGTTTCTTTGTGTATGTCATGTAACAGCGGAAACAAGAGATAATACTGGAAACACTTTGCGGGATGAGCTCTCATTGAACGAGTCAACGCCATTTGGCTATGGTTCTGGACATATCAAACCCAACCGAGCAATGAATCCTGGCTTGGTCTATGACTTGACAGTCGAAGACTATCTGGACTTTCTTTGTGCCATTGGCTACAACCAATCAATGGTAGAACGTTTCTCTGAAGGTCCCTACACATGTCCCGAATCAGGCAATCCTCTGGACTTAAACTACCCCTCGATAGCGGTTCCTAAACTCTTAGGCTCAGTCACCATATCTAGGAAGCTGAAAAATGTTGGCACACCAGGCAATTATGCTGCTCATGTTTGTGAACCATTCGGGGTTTCGGTTTCTGTGGAGCCTAGCTCATTGCAGTTTGAGAACATTGGAGAAGAGAAGAGCTTTAAGTTGACTCTTAAAGCTAAGGGGGATGGTGCGGCTAATGAGGACTATGTTTTTGGAGCACTGACATGGACGGACGGAAAGCATTATGTACGGAGTCCAATAGCGGTTGCTGCAGCAGCTTCTACTTGATATTTAGGTTCAATACAACTTTTTATTTTTCTTTTAAGATTCCATAGGTAAAATCCTTTTGATTTAAATTGAATGCTCAGTACCAAGTACTAAAACATTTTTTATTTCAAAATAAATAGAAATAAATGTGGGGGTATCTTTGTCCGTAAAAAAAATGAGAGGACATTTAAACTCCAAACAAGATTGAAATTGACCAAAAAGTGAGATGTGGAAAGTAAGTGTAGCCATTGAGCCAGGAGCGGGCTAATCTTCATCTCTTGGTTTATCAACCATCAACTATGAACCAACGTTCATCACATATCCTCCCGCCTTTAATAATACTCTATCATTTCCGTCTTTAACGGTTTTTAAACTGCCACAAGAACCATGACTACGCCGACCCAGCTTCATACTACCACCGCTAATGCCTTGTCTCTGCGACCCAACTCTCCTTTCTCCACTCCCTTTCTCTCCACCAACCTAGGCCAGAGGCAGAGCTTCTTGTCGCGCAGGTCTTTGCTTCTCCCCCAGAAATGGAGACAGCACATGTTTCTTTCAACAAGACCCCTCTTAAAAGATGGGAATCTCAGAATTAATCGCAAGGAAGCCTTGAAAGATGTCCCCGCAAACATTGTCGTCACGCCATTGACGGATACCTCAGCATTTGTTGGGGCCACTTCCTCAGACAGCAGCTCCCGGCATGTATTCAAGCTTGGAGTCATTAAGTATTCATTTTTACTTCCTTTCTCGTTTTACCTTCTCAATTTTTCATTCAAGTTCCTTTAAAATCAAAATTAGAGTAAATTTCACATGAACTTCATTTCTTTCATTTGAAAGCCCCTTGGCCTATTATTCTTATGCAGGCATTAAACGCGAGAATTAACATTTTGAGTTACAATGTTACTTAGCTTAACTAAGGCGTTTCGTTTATTTCAAGCAATTATAATTGTCTTAATCTTTGAATGTGTTCACCCAACTTAAGAATCATGTTATTCTTTCAGCAACAAATTCATTGCTCCCTAAAAGTAGTTTTCCGTAGATTATATGATTGAGGCCTACAAAACTAGAAGCATTGATGAAAATATTTCGGTCAAGTTCAATGGCATCATCTCATGGTGTCTGCTTGATGCAGGGATGTCAAGTTACTCTGTCTGTTTAGATTTAAACTTTGGTGGATGATACCACGGGTGGGGAGTTCTGGAAGTGACATTCCTGTTGAAACTCAGATGCTACTCTTGGAGGCAAAAGAAGGACCAGCTTCTGATGATGCATCTGATCATTCTACTTATATCATATTTTTGCCTGTTCTGGATGGCAAATTTAGAAGCAGTTTGCAGGGCAACACATCAGATGAACTTGAGTTTTGTGTTGAAAGTGGTGAGTATTAACTCCAAGATTAGTATTCTGGGTATTCATGTTTCTAATTTTCCTCAATATGTGACCACATATACTACTAGCTGAGTGGTGTAGTCTTCCTTGTCATAAAACATCAAAGTATACATGTACCGCATAAAGCCATAAACTTGACTGATAAAACATCACCACTAGTTTAATTGTGATCCTCTATTCTTCATGACGGTATGGATCCATGCATGTCTGTTGATAAGATCAGACGGCAGTTCTGCTTAGCTGGGTGTAGGTTTAGGGTGAGTCCTCAATTGGGATTAAAGAGACAGCAACCTGTAAGTGGCTAAGAATGAATAAACAGATGACAAAAGCAAAAATAGGGAAGAGAAAAAGCTCCTCGTTTACTTACCGACCACCTTACTTTTTCTTACTTTCTGTAGTCAAATGATTTGACATTGTCCGTATTTTTGTAGGTGACCCTGATATAGTTACATCACAATCCTGAACGCGATTTTTGTGAACTATTGAAAACATCCATTTGATTTGGTGAAGGATTCTATGATGTAGGTTAGCTCTCTGAGCAAACTTTAAGTATATATGGTATAAAGTTTCCAAGCTACCTGATTGGGTCATTATTAATTCAGTTTGTATATGATGAGACTTTCTCATTTGTGCTTTGAAAGATATGCAGGATTCTAGAGAAGCAGTTTGGAACCTTTGCCCACCGTGAGACCAAACAGGCAAGTTGGATTACCATTTATATCTAGTGATGATACAAGGCTAAGGTTTTTTTTTTTTATTTTTTTATTTTTTACTGAGCCAAAGAAGAATCAAAACCAAAAATATGTAATGTGCTTGTTTGATGCTTTTCAATTGCAGATGCCTGGAATGCTAGATTGGTTTGGTTGGTGCACCTGGGATGCATTCTACCAAGAAGTTAATCCCCAAGGAATTAAAGATGGCCTAATGAGGTCAATCCACTTCTGGATTCTTATTCTCTTTAAACATAGTAAACTTTTGATTGGCAAAGTAAAAAGTCCTTTGCATTGGGCTTCTAGTATATATTCATATATAGTTGTTCATTTTGTGTGGTAGAAAGCACTAGCAAATCAACAATTAATTTATACCTGTATGTCCACCCCTCGGAAATTTTTTGAATTCTTGATTCTGAATGACTCATATTTTGTGCAATTGCACAAATGTTTGGCTTGCCCAGCTAAAGGGTGCAGGCTTGAGTAGGAGAGTGTGTCATTTACGCAAAAATATTGAAGGTTATTAGCACCAGTGATTCCTGATGGACGTACTACCCCCACTGGAGCAGCCTTTTGATCTGGGAGACATTGGGAGGGGGCATGGTAAACAACTGAACAAATTAATTGCCATTTCAGGATGTATTATAATAACAAGCTGTTGATACTACGTGGCAAATTAAAGAAAAAACGGAGAAAATAGTTAAGCTTTGATTCTTATGACTCTCCTTTCACCTCTTTACGACTGCATGTAAAATAGTAGATAATTTTGAAATAGCCTTATAATACTCATTCATTAGCTTTGAAACTTGTCCTTGAAGTTGCTTCATTATGCTTTTCTCCAATGTACTTGTAACTTGTTCCCTGTGCAAGAGTTTATCGTTTATTATTAATTATTCTTGTCAACAATTCTCCCTTTGAATTTTTCAGTTTGTTTGCATTTTGCTTTAGCATCTTTTTCATCTTTTCTCGCTCACAGTTTATCCCAGGGAGGGACACCTGCACGGTTTTTGATTATAGATGATGGGTGGCAAGACACAGTTAACGACTTTCAAAAAGAAGGGGAGCCAATTGTTGAAGGGTCACAGTAAGCTCACTATGTGTCCTCTTAATTATTCATTTTAAAGAGCATATTTGGTTCTGAATATCCTCGTCCCCAAATTTCAGGTTTGGTGGCAGATTGGCCAGCGTTAAAGAAAATAAAAAGTTTCGAAGAACAGCAAATGAAGCTAAAAGCAAGGCACCCCGTGATCTTAAAGAATTTGTATCGGATATTAAGAAGACTTTTGGCCTAAAGTAAGCTTCTTGCAGACCTTTCACTATAGATTCGATGAGGAGAGCCACAGTTCAAATGCCAGCATAATTTTCCATCTCAAGGCTCTTCTTAAAATCTCTCTACTCTATTTCATATATGTTCGACACCTTCAGGAGATCTCATCTTCCTTTGGATTTTTCTGAATTGTCAGGTATGTCTATGTTTGGCATGCCCTGCTTGGGTATTGGGGTGGCCTTGCTCCAAATACGCTGGGAACCAAAATGTATAATCCAAAATTAAGATACCCTATACAATCACCAGGATATTTAGCAAATTTGAGGGATATATCAATGGATTCTATGCAGAAGTATGGTATCGGTGTAATTGATCCTGATAAAATATCTCAGTTTTATGATGATCTACATAGATACCTTGTTTCACAGAATGTGGATGGGGTTAAAGTTGATGTTCAGAACATATTAGAAACCATCTCTGCAGGTTTAGGTGGTCGTGTCTCACTTACAAGACAGTTTCAACAAGCACTTGAAAGGTCCATAGCTGCCAACTTCGAAGACAACAGCATAATTTGTTGCATGGGTCAGAGCACCGACTCCATTTACCAGTATGTAACTTGTGCTTCCTAAAGCTTATCAAGTCTGCTTTTTCTTTAGAGAAATAAGAGAAGAAAATGCATCCGTAAGTTCACTTTTCTTCCCTGTTTTTAGTGTCGCATGGCATATAACTGTTAGCAGAACCAGGCACATATCAAATAATTAGGTCGCCTCTGGCTATATTATTTGAGTGATTTAAACTGTCCAAGAAACCCTTCTATTTCAAACGTTTCAAGGAGATCAAAGTAAGTTGCTTCAGGATTGGAATTGGATTGCTATATTCATCATTATTGCAGCTGGAGATTCTGATAGTTTTAGCTTGTCAAGTTTTAGGATCTCCGAGCAGCAGGTGAGAAGCATAATCAGGTTCTTCTGTAGCAGCATAATTTGGATAATAAAACTTTGCTTATCCAAAAAATTAAAAGGAGAAGAAGTAGTAGAAGAAATGGCTTTAAAAGGATGTCAGTAAGCATATTTAGTCTGGTAAATTAAACCACGATGTCAATTCTTGTGCAGTGCTGGTAGTATCACCAACATAGTTAACAATTTTCTTCTGTTGCAGTCAATTAATAAACTGAGAAATAATTTTCAGATTGGTGGCTTAAGATGAATTGCACATGCTATTTCAGATGATTAAATCCGTAGTCAAGTACCATTGTAATTAGCTCCGCCTTTGTTGCTGCAGTTCAAAACAAAGTGCCATTGCACGAGCCTCTGATGACTACTATCCAAAAAACCCTACAACACAGACGCTGCATGTGGCTGCTGTGGCATTCAACAGCATTTTTCTGGGTGAAGTATTTGTTCCGGATTGGGACATGTTCTATGTATGGAATGACATCATTTTACTTTTCCCAATTCTGAATAACTATTTACTATGGTATTAATAAACTTTTTTAACAACTTTTTAGAGTCTTCATGATGCAGCAGAGTTTCACGCTGTTGCTAGAGCTGTGGGAGGTTGCGGAGTTTATGTCAGGTAAGTGCTTTTCTGATGGTATAACCGTACAATCTTATTAGCTATTCAAGTATATGAGACATGTTACATGCTGTTGAGATGATAGATACAAGCTATATATTTTCGATTCCCTTAACCGAAGAAGAATGAAAAGAGGAGAGTCAGTATTAATTTATTGGTGATACCTCCGAGTCCGATGATTTTCCACCGTATCATTTGCTTAATGTTAATCTTAATCATAAGAAAATTGATAGACCAACTAAATGTTGGTCCTGTCCTACTTGCTTTGGACAGATGCCG